TCAAGCAGAACTGATTTACTGGGGCATTGCAATCCCTCCTCTCTGTCCTGAGATAATTGGGAAGTAATTGGGAAGTAATCCAATTATCTCCAAGGACAGAGGCAAACTCCATTAAGCACAAGTTACCAAAAAGACAGAAAAATATACAATGTTGCAAATATTACACAAAACATATACATTCAACATATCCCCAGATAGATTAGATCTGAGCGCACATTATTCCTGAATGGCGCTCAGATCACATACACAGCCAAAGTCTTTCATACAGTCTTTCGGTATACGAATGGGCTCCATTGCATAACTATCTGTGGTAACATTGTTCACATAATGAAAGTCCCGAATGAACTGGTGTTCGTTTCTTTGCAGGAGAAGGGAAGTTGGCAGCTCAGCGGTGTTCGTGCAAATAAGTGTCCGTTTTGAGTTCAATCGATTTGGAGTAGTGATGTCGCGAACCCGAAATTTTCGGTTCACGAACGGCGAACGCGAACTTCCGCACTAATACAATCACTCACAGACACACAGACACACTCACACACACACACACACACACAGTCACTCACAGACACACTGTCACTCACAGACACACGCTCAGTCACTCAGACACACACACTCATACAATCACACACACACACACTCAGTCACTCACACACACACATGCACACTAGTGATGTCGCGAACCCGAAATTTTCGGTCGGCGAACGCGAACTTCCGCAAATGTTCGCGAACCGGCGAACCGCCCGAAACGCCATTGACTTCAATGGGGAGGCGAATTTTAAAACACACAGGGACTCTTTCTGGCCACAATAGTGATGGAAAAGTTGTTTCATGGGGACTAACACCTGGACTGTGGCATGCCGGAGGGGGATCCATGGCAAAACTCCCATGGAAAATTACACAGTTGATACAGAGTCTGGTTTTAATCCATAAAGGGCAGAAATCACCTAACATTCCTAAATCACAATCAATATGGATTGACACCCGACATATGACATATTGACACCTTGACATATGGATTGACACCTGTCCTCAGAGCCCCTGATGCACACGGACACAGAGCAGAATAGAGACTGGTCCCCCTACATAGGGTCACTTGGCAGATATGGATTGACACCTGTCCTCAGAGCCCCTGATACACACTGACACAGAGCAGAATAGAGACTGTTCCTCCTACATAGGGTCACTTGGTAGATATGGATTGACACCTGTCCTCAGAGACCATGATACACACTGACACAGAGCAGAATAGAGACTGTTCCTCCTACATAGGGTCACTTGGCAGATATGGATTGACACCTGTCCTCAGAGACCATGATACACACTGACACAGAGCAGAATAGAGACTGTTCTACTACATAGGGAAAGTGCCCTAAAACAGTGTTCCCCAACCCCCGGGCCGCGGACCGGTAAGTGGATCAAACGTTTACCGGTCCGCGGCGATAAAAAGGTTGGGGAGCACTGCCCTAGAACCCTAGTTGGTGGCGGATGAGTCACGCAAGTCAACCGGCATTCAGAGCTAAAATACAGCAGCGTGTGGACCATTTTTAGCCCAAGGCAGCTCATCTCATCAGGCCTTTTTTAGTCGGATGTATCGCTCACTGTCAGTCCCGTCGGGATCCATCCCTCATTCATCTTAATAAAGGTGAGGTAATCTAGACTTTTTTGACCTAGGCGATTTCTCTTCTCAGTGACAATACCTCCTGCTGCACTGAAGGTCCTTTCTGACAGGACACTTGAAGCGGGGCAGGCCAGAAGTTCTATTGCAAATTGGGATAGCTCAGGCCACAGGTCAAGCCTGCACACCCAGTAGTGAAGGGGTTCATCGCTCCTCAGAGTGTCGATATCTGCAGTTAAGGCGAGGTAGTCTGCTACCTGTCGGTCAAGTCGTTCTCTGAGGGTGGACCCCGAAGGGCTGTGGCGATGCGTAGGACTTAAAAAGCTCCGCATGTCCTCCATCAACAACACATCTGTAAAGCATCCTGTCCTTGCCGGCGTGGTCGTGGGAGGAGGAGGATTACTTTCACCTCTTCCCCTGTTAGATTCCCGTTGTGCTGTGACATCACCCTTATACACTGTGTAAAGCATACTTTTTAATTTATTTTGCAAATGCTGCATCCTTTCCGACTTGTTGTAATTTGGTAACATTTCAGCCACTTTCTGCTTATACCGGGGGTCTAGTAGTGTGGACACCCAGTACAGGTCGTTCTCCTTCAGCCTTTTTATACGAGGGTCCCTCAACAGGCACGACAGCATGAAAGACCCTATTTGCACAAGGTTGGATGCCGAGCTACTCATTTCCCGTTCCTCCTCCTCACTGATGTCAATGAAGGTATTTTCTTCCCCCCAGCCACGTACAACACCACGGGTACCAGATAGGTGACAACGAGCACTCTGGGATGCCTGTTGTGGTTGGTCTTCCTCCTCCTCCTCAAAGCCACATTCCTCCTCTGACTCCTCTTCCTCACAATCCTCTTCCAGCGTTTCCGCAGGTCCAGCAAGCGATGCTGATAAGGCTGGTTCTGGTGGTGATGGTGACCACAACTCTTCCTCTTCACGCTCATCTACGGCCTGATCCAGCACTCTTCACAGGGCACGCTCCAGGAAGAAAACAAATGGTATGATGTCGCTGATGGTGACTTCGGTGCGACTGACTAGGTTTGTCACTTCCTCAAAAGGACGCATGAGCCTACAGGCATTGCGCATGAGCGTCCAGTAACGTGGCAAAAAAATTCCCAGCTCCCCAGAGGCTGTCCTAGAACCCCGGTCATACAAATATTCATTAACGGCTTTTTCTTGTTGGAGCAGGCGGTCGAACATTAGGAGTGTTGAATTCCAATGTGTCGGGCTGTCGCAAATCAAGCGCCTCACTGGCATGTTGTTTCGCCGCTGGATATCGGCAAAGTGAGCCATGGCCGTGTAGGAACGCCTGAAATGGCCACACACCTTCCTGGCCTGCTTCAGGACGCCCTGTAAGCCTGTGTACTTATGCACAAAGCGTTGTACGATCAGATTACACACATGTGCCATGCACGGCACATGTGTCAACTTGCCCAACTTCAATGCCGCCAACAAATTTGTTCCGTTGTCACAAACCACTTTGTCGATCTCCAGTTGCTGCGCAGTCAGCCACTTTTCCACCTGTGCGTTCAGGGCGGACAGGAGTGCTTGTGCGGTGTGACTCTCTGCTTTCAAGCAAGTCAAACCCAAGACGGCGTGACACTGCCGTATCTGGGATGTGGAATAGTACCTGGGGAGCTGGGGGGGTGCCGTTGATGTGGAGCAAGACGCAGCAGCAGAAGAGGACTCAGCCGAGGAGGTTATGGAAGAGGATGGAGTAGGGAAGAGTAGAGGAGGTGGCAGTAGGCCTGCCTGCAAGTCGTGGCGGTGTCACCAACTCCTCTGCAGAGCCACGCATTCCATGCTTGGCAGCCGTCAGCAGGTTTACCCAATGCGCAGTGTAGGTGATATACCTGCCCTGACCATGCTTTGCAGACCAGGTATCAGTGGTCAGATGGACCCTTGCCCCAACACTGTGTGCCAGACATGCCATTACTTCCTTTTGCACAATCGAGTACAGGTTGGGGATTGCCTTTTGTGAAAAGAAATTTCGTCCGGGTACCTTCCACTGCGGTGTTCCAATAGCTACAAATGTTTTGAACGCCTCAGACTCCACCAGCTTGTATGGTAAAAGCTGGCGGGCTAATAGTACAGACAAGCCAGCTGTCAGACACCGGGCAAGGGGGTGACTTTCTGACATTGGCTTCTTACTCTCAAACATGTCCTTGACAGACACCTGACTGTGGGCAGATGAGCAGGAACTGCTCAAGGCAAGAGACGGAATGGCGGATGGTTGAGAGGGGGCAAGGAGGACAGCAGTGGTTGACGTGGCTGAAGATGCTGGACCAGGAGGAGGATGGAGGCTTTGAGTTTGTGTGCTGCTTGTACTCATGTGTTGATCCCATAGGCATTTGTGATGTGCGATCATGTGCCTACGCAAAGCAGTTGTACCTAGGTGGGTGTTGGACTTCCCACGACTCAGTTTCTTTGGCACAGGTTGCAAATGGCATCGCTGTTGTCAGAGGCAGACACACAAAAAAAATTCCACACTGCTGAGCTCTGCAATGACGGCATTCTGGTGGTGGACACAGCATGCGCTGATTGGCGTGCTGTCGGGCTGACCCCGGGTGTCGATGCATGCTGTCTGACTGTGCCACTAGCTCCTTGTGACGACCTCCCCCTGCTTCCAACTCGTCTCCTCCTCCTCCCTGTCTCCCCATCTGAACTTTCGCCCTGTTCTTCTTCTTGACGAGCGGGCACCCACGTGACATCCATGGACGCATCGTCATCATCAACCGCTTCACTTGTATCTGACAACTCAGCAAAGGAAGCAGCAGCGGGTACAACATCATCATCATCACACCGTACATGTGTAATGCTGCCTGATTGAGACATATCCCTGTTATCTACATCCTCTGTCAATAATGGTTGCGCATCACTCATTTCTTCAAACGGATGTGTAAATAACTCCTCTGACATACCAAGTGAAGCGGCTGTGGTGCTAGTGTTGGTGGTGGCGGCAGGCGGGTGAGTGGTATCTTGAGAGGTGCCCGAAGCTAAGCTGGAGGAGAATGTTGCGTCAAGGTTCCGAGCGGAAGCTGTAGAAGATTGGGTGTCCTGTGTTAGCCAGTCAACTATGTCCTCAGAACTTTTCAAGTTCAGGGTACCTGGCCTCTGAAAACTGGGCATTATTCTAGGGCAAAAGGGAATCACAGCACCACGACATGACGGCCCCTGCGGGGTGGCCTGCCTCTGCCTGTCATTTTTTTTTCGATTAGTGGTACTATGTGTGCAAGCTACTGTGACACCAGATATGAGTGGCACTGTGAACTGGCAGAGGTTGGCAGAGTACACGCTGTAGGGCTGACACACCCGCTTTGAGACAACTAACTGCTATTCAATCTATAACAGTGAAAAATGTTTTTGGTTTTTAAATGCAAGCTATTGTGACACCAGTGAGTGAGTGGTGGCACTGGGCACAGTATCCACTGTGAGCCTGACACACCCGCTTTGAGACAACTAACTGCTATTCAATCTATAACAGTGAAAAAAGTTTTTGGTTTTAAATGCACGCTATTGTGACACCAGTGAGTGAGTGGTGGCACTGGGCACAGTATCCACTGTGAGCCTGACACACCCGCTTTGAGACAACTAACTGCTATTCAATCTATAACAGTGAAAAAAGTTTTTTGGTTTTAAATGCACGCTATTATGACACCAGATATGAGTGGCACTGTGAACTGGCACAGTATCCACTGTGAGCCTGACACACCCGCTTTGAGACAAATAACTGCTATTCAATCTATAACAGTGAAACAAGTTTTTTGGTTTTAAATGCACGCTATTGTGACACCAGATATGAGTGGCAAAGTACACTGGCAGAGGTCTGCAGAGCACACGCTGAAAGGCCTGACACCCGCTTTAAGGACACTGACTGCTATTAGCTTACACTGAAAAACTTTTTTTCTTTGTAAAAGCACGCTATAGAGACACCAGATATGAGTGGCAAAGTACACGGGCAGAGGTCTGCAGAGCACACGCTGAAGGAGGCCTGACATCCGCTTTAAGGACACTGACTGCTATTAGCTTACACTGAAAAACTTTTTTTCTTTGTAAAAGCACGCTATAGAGACACCAGATATGAGTGGCAAAGTACACGGGCAAAGGTCTGCAGAGCACAGCTGAAGGAGGCCTGACACCCGCTTTAAGGACACTGACTGCTATTAGCTTACACTGAAAAACTTTTTTTCTTTGTAAAAACACGCTATAGAGACACCAGATATGAGTGGCAAAGTACACGGGCAGAGGTCTGCAGAGCACACGCTATTGTGACACCAGATATGAGTGGTGGCACTGACTGGGCAAATGGGCACAGTATCCACTGTGAGCCTGACACAGAGGCTGGCAGGCAACTAACTGCTATTCAATCTATTACAGTGAAAAAAATTTTTTCTTTTTAAATGTCAAGCATAAGCTATTGTGACACCAGAAATGAGTGGTGGCACTGACTGGGCAAATGGGCACAGTATCCACTGTGAGCCTGACACAGAAGTAGGCAGGCAGGCAACTGCAATTACATTACACAGAAAAAAAAAAAAAGCAGACTGATGTTCTAGCCCTAAAAAGGGCTTTTTGGGATGCTGTCCTTACAGCAGAGATCAGATGAGTCCTTCAGGACTGTAGTGGACACTGAATACCCTAGCCTAGCTATGCATTTCCCTATCTAATGAGCAGCAGCTACACTTTCCCTCCTCTCACTAAGCATGCAGCTTCAGAATGAATGTAAAATGGATGCCTTCCAGTAGGTGGGAGGGTCTGCTAGGGAGGGTGTGCTGCTAATTGGCTGGAATGTGTCTGCTTACTGTGAGGTACAGGGTCAAAGTTTACTCAATGATGACGAATAGGGGGCGGATCGAACCGTGCATGTGTTCGCCCGCGGTGGCGAACGCGAACACACTATGTTCGCTGGGAACTATTCGCCGGCAAACAGTTCGGTACATCACTAATTTGGAGCTGAACACCGCTGGCCGTTCGGGAGTTTAAAATGGCCGCTGCCACGTGTTCGGCAAACGAACAAAGGCCACCCAACGTTCGTCAATTAAGCTGTGGTTAATTGACGGCACACTCCAGTTCCCAGATGGTCGATTGGTCGGTAGTTTGTTCGGTAGATTCCATCTACCGAACGCCCAGGCAGAAATTCACAAATAAGCCTTTCTGCAGGGAAAATAAAAGGTTTTTAACATAGTCCAGCAGCAGGAGGCGGGTGACCAGGCTCCTCCAGTGGCGAGGTTGGTTCTGCCACATACATACATACAGACACATACACACAGACACACACATACACACACACAGACAGACAGATACATAGACACACACACATATACACCCCCCGACAGACACACAGGCACATACATACATACAGACACATACACACATACAGACACTCACATACAAACACACACATATACAAAATATATGGACCGATGGACCCCTTCATGTGCAGTCCCGGCGGTTTGCCGCACGGGCCGGGGCTGCAAAACATGGCGGCGGGCACCTGGTCGCAGCGGTCTGCAGGGCGACCGGGCTCCACAGAGTGGCGGGCCTGGTCGCAACTGTGACCCCTGCGACCACTGTATGTACGCCAGTGTGTATATATAATTGTTTTCCCTTTTACAGAAGTGATCATATTAAGTGCATTTGTAATAATATGTGTATGTTCTCATCTTAGAGCTCAAATAGTTGTGAAATTATGTTTACAAATTTGAGTCATATTTGTGTAATGTAATTCTATTATAAGTATATAAGAGAATATGTGCTTGGCCTTATATTAGCCCTTTAAAAAAGTGAACTTGATTGCATTATTTAAGTATGTGTCAGAATATATATTTGTGCCACTTCTAATTCAAATGCAAAAAATCTATAGTGCTTTTAGTGTTTGCAGATGACAAATGTGACCCTATCAAAAGGAAAGGGAAGATAGAAAGATGGGAAAAAAAAGGAAAAGAAAAAAATACCAGTGAGTGCCCTTCTTCGAGTGTATGTATTGTTAAGAGGCTGGACAGTGAGTGAAGAGTGAGTGCAGGACAGTGTGTGTGTGTGTATATATATATGTATATATATATATATATATAAAATGCTTTCCTGAGGAAAGTCCCACACTGGGGCTGAAATGTGGACCTGTTTTGGCATCACTGTATGCACTTTAACATGTGCACATTTTAACCACAAGGAAATAAATGCTACATTTTAACTGAGACCGTGAGTGCAGACTACTACATTCTATTACTATTTATTTTGTAACTACCTGTCTGGCACCTGGCATTTTCATCTTTGAGACTGTAAACCCTTGAGTCTGTGTGCATAGAACTACGACATATCTGAAAATGAGAGAAATCTCAATGTATCCTTCTTGGTGAAATATTTTATAAATAAATATGCGGGTGTTATTAACCCCCACAGGATTTTTATTTATGAATTATTATTTTTTATTTTATTTTTTTTCCATGATGCCATTGTCATCTGCATTTTTTTAAAATGATGTTGACTAAACTCCCCCTGCCCTCCCCCAAAGCAACTCCTTTGTCATCTGGGTTGAAGTATGTAAATTAATGTAATATTTGAAATACAAATAGTGGAAAGCCACCCCGGGCTTGTCCCATTAAAAAAAAAAATCAGTACTCCGTATCCTGTTTGCACTCAGGCACATTAAACAAAAATTAATATGGAAGACAGTCCATCAGCATTCAGGCAGGAATTTCTTTATAGAGTGACTTGCTATAGAGATGCTAGTGCCAGCATCCCAGGGAGTGAATTATATCTCTCTCTATGACATGCAAACACAGGAGGTGGGTGTGTCAGACCACTTGTATCAGCCAGTGCCAGGATGTCTGATCACCTGTGTAAGGCATGTGCCAAACAAGAAGAGAGTGGGCGGTAACAACAGGAATGTTTTCCCAGCTTAACCGGAAGTCGTGCGTTTCTGAGTGCACAATGCTACTTTATTGCCATCTAGTGATAAAACCTTGAAAGACAGTCTTTATGTCCAAATGTAAATGAGATTGCTTTCTAAACTTGGAATTGTGGAAATTTGACTAAGGAATTGCAAATTTAGGCCAACACAGCTAAGCTGGAAGAATAGCTAAGTTGAAGGCACTTTTGCAATTACAGCTGTGTTAACCTAACATTTATAATTATTTTATCAGTTCTGGAATAAATAACTTTATTTCAGCAGTATTCCTAGAATATATGACATCAGGGGTGGATTTGTTTGTTGTCAATGTCCGGCCCTTGTAAAAAATTGACTTTTCTTGCATGTCTCTCCAAACCCACTCCCTACCATCTGGATTCATTGGGTGTCTCTCCATCCGGCCTCCCTAGCCCTTGTGGGCCTCTTAAGCCCCTTCCTACCCTTTTGTATCTCTCTAGCACACTTAACTACCTAGTACCTGCTTATTACCAGTATATTTGCCGTAAGTGAGGTGGGCTTAAGGTAAGACGCTCCTCCCTTATCCTGCATGACGCAACTCACCTGGAGCAGCTGCAGGGGTGTTGTGTTTCCCCCATGCTGCTCCAGGACACCCTCAGGGTGTCACAACACTGGGGAACCCATCTTGGTATTTGTAGGAGCAGTGAATGGAACACTTAGTTTAGTGAACAAACTGGTGTAAGATCCCACTCACATAGGGGGAGTGGACACCTACACACACAATTGGGGCCTTCTGCTTGTATAGACCCAAATACCCATCCTAATGGGAGGGCTCCCATTACCTCTCTGCTATTTAAACATAGACCACCCTGGGTTCCTGGCTCAGTGGTCTTGTAAACTCACAGAGGTTACAAGCCTCCTTCGCCTGATTACCCTCATCTGTCTGATCAGGGTTGGTGCAAGGATTTTTGGGTACATAGGCGAAGATGCATCCCCCTGCCCACAAAAAAAAAATAACATCTTCACCTATGTGCCTCTTAACCAGCCCCTCTCCCATCCCTGTCCATTAGTCGTCCCCTCCCCCCTCTTTCCCCTGTCCCTTGGTGTTTCTCTCCTCTCCCTGTCCCTTGGTGTACCCCTCACCCCCTTAGTGGTCACACTCCCCTTCTTGGTGTGCCTCCTACCTCTCTTGTAGCGTTGCTGAGCGGAGCAGATCCCCTACAGGAGCTTCCGTTTTCTATACCCGGCCAGGCTGACAGGAAGTGCTCTCCTGTGAGCACCTCCATTCAGTCTGGCTAGGTACAGGAAACAGAAGCTCCTGTACCGCTTTCCGCTCCGCCACGCTACACTCAGTGGTGTATACACACTGACAGTCACACACACTCAATGACAAACACACAGACATCACTGACAGACACAGACTCACTGATCTGACACACACTCATTCATTGACAGACACACACACACACACACACTGATTGACACTGATTGACAGACACACTGAAAGTCACACACAGACTCAGTGACAAACATACTGAATGACTTTACACACTCACAAACACACACTCATACACTCACATGCACACACATACACTCACTCACACATACACATACATTCACTCCCAGACACACACACACCCTCACACTCACATACAGACATACACTCACTAATTATTATTTTTATAATTAAATATTTTCCACCCAGCCTCCCTACCTGAGGTTCAGTGTGGCTGCTGGGAGGAGTGTGGCTGTGGTATAATCAGAGGCAGCGAGGGAGCTC